AAGGCTATTTTAAAAGTTATTGAGAATCCAAGGTGGATTTTTTATTTAGGTTGACAACTAAGTTTTGAGCCCCCCTTGGGTTAAGCGCATTCAATAATTATTAAAATTCATCAAAATGTTTTCAAAATGTAATTTATTTTTCTCTATGTTCCTAATTGAGTTGCCTATTTTTGGGCGAAAAATCAGAGCCATAGGATTAAGTTTCAAGCAAATGATTTAGACCATACACAGGATATGGTCCAAAAATGAATTTTGGATATGGCTCAGGAAATATACTGTAACTTTTTTATATTGTAAAGTAACGAAAAGAAATTTGCAAAGAAGATATCTAACATTCTTATTAATAAAATAAAGAAGAAATTAGGTAGGTCAGTCGGTTAGGAAAAAAGTTATGAATTTTTAACTCTAGGGGGCTCAAAACTTATTTGTTAGTTGAGAACCTAAGTAATTACATAAATACAAGCAGGAATTTTAAGAGTCATCCTTAGGGCTGACGGACTTCATTAGAAATTACCTCCAACACTACGGAGACAGCTTAAGATAGTTTTTTTTCAATTAGGTTGACCATTGAGTGTGAAGTTTTCTAAACGATACCATTTATAGTTCATTAACAATAATTTCAGTCATGGGATGTATAAATTTATACATAATGTCCAATATTAAATATTTTCTTTAACTTTAGTTATCTAAACTCAGCAAAAAGAATACAAAAACTAGTTTTAAACAAGCCATTCTCTGCAGAAGAACGTCTTCTTCGGAGCATTCGTTTTCTTGAAATAAGTGGAGGAAAACTTCCAGAATTATTACCAGAATCGAGAAATATGAGCACAATTGCTTTTTATAATTTAGATATTTTAATTTTGGCAACAATTTCCTCAATTCTTTTAATTTTTATTTTTTGGAGGTTTTTAAAGTTTTTGAGTGGAGGATATACAAAAATACGGGCAACATTTTTCAATAAAAAGGAAGAAAAAGAAAATAAGAAGAATGAATAACTACATATTAGTTAAAAAAAACCCCTTAAATCTTTATTTAATTCTACCTTTATTTAAAGCTTTTTTAAATAAATCTTGAATATTTTGATAAAATTTTGGAATTTTCTTTTAATCTAGACAATTTGCTTTTTAATTATCCTTTAAAGTAGGTCTCCCCTTTCTCCCCCTTCAATATATTTTATTTATTTGAGTAAAAATTAAACTTTTAGTGATGTCAATTTATTATTCCTTTTTAAAATATATGTATTTTTTGTAGTTTTTTGGTATTTAATTACAAATAATAAATTTAATATTTAATTTTAATTATTTTAGTTTTGAGAATTTTAATATTATTTTATTTTAACTGATAAAGAATATTTAATTTTTATTTATTTAATTATTAATTAATTTGTTTGTTTGCTTTGTTAATAATTTTTGGTTTTAAAAATTATTTAAAAATATTATAGATTCTTTTTTGTTGCCACCTTTTAAGGTTTTTTTTATAAATTTTTTTAAATTTTTCTATTTTTTAAAAATATTTTCGCCTTTGACATTTTTTTAGATTTTAATTTTTATTTTTAAAACACTTGTCATATAAATAGAAAATTGAAAGTTATTGACATTATAAACCATAAAATACTTTTTTTCTTTTTAAATGATTATAGTTTCGATAACTAATTAAGGAATTTTTGAAGATAATTTTTTGTTTATTTAAAACATTCTTCTCTCCCTTTTTAATTTTTGTCTATAGAATTTACCTACATACTTTTGAAATTAAAAATAAAAATTAAAAATTAGTTAAAATAACTTTATTACAAGAGAATCATTTTCTTTTGTTGAATCATTTTGTTGTTCAGTTAAGCATGTTCTAAGATAGAGCCTATTTGGCTCTATCTTAGGACATGCGTCCCATGAACTTTTATGCGTCCCATGAAAGTATATGCGTCCCAAAAATAGTATATGCGTCCCATGAAAGTATATGCGTCCCAAAAATAGTATATGCGTCCTATGAAAATATACAGCCTAAGAATTTATATGCGTCCTAAAATTAATATAAGCGAAAGAGAATTTTGTAAACTTTTTTTAATTGTATTAATGAAATTTAAATATTTTATTATGTATCGCTAAAGATTGTCTAAACCTGCTGAATGTTGTTTAAACCACCTTTGCTGAAGGTTGTTTAAACCTCCATACGCTGCCCAGCCATCGCTAATGATGGTTGATCAACATTTTCAGCATTTACATATCGTAAATGTTCAAATAATGGTCCATCTGTATTAAAATCAATCAAGAAGGACCCTTTGAAAAATATAAACCAAGGCCTCATTTTAACTAAATTTGTAAAACGTATTTGTAAATTACCAGCAAAATTATTAGCTCAAGTTCAAGGACTAATATTTAATTGTCATTAATAAAATTAAAAAATGTTTTCGCAATTGTTTTACGCTTATATTAATTTTGGGACGCATATATTTTGAAGGGACGCTTATACTATTTTTGGGACGCATATACTTTCATGGGACGCATAAACCTCCATGGGACGCATAAACTTTCATGGGACGCTTAAAAGGTCATGGGACGCATGTCCTAAGATAGAGCCGTTTATTTTTTTAATAAATAAATATGTAATAGATGAACTTAAAATTTAAAAAAATAATTTACTAATTTTTTCCCTTTTTTTTTAATTTTTTAGTTTTAATTTCGAAATCTCGACTTGAAAAAATATGTAAATAAAAGACATGCTATTTTTTGTTTTTGACATTTACTATTTTTTACAAAAAATTTAATGATTTTATTTCAAAATTTCTAGATTTTCTTAATTAAAATTAATTTTTCAATTTTTTTTGTTTAATCAGGATGAGTTCGTTTAATTTCTTTAAGTAAATAAATAGTTGATTTGCTTGCTTTAAATTATTAAAAAATTGTTAAATTGATTTTTGTTTAAATTTTAAAAAAAATTAAATTAAATTTCCTTCAAAAATTTCCAGATTTTGTTAATTAAAAAATGAAAAATATTTTCTTAAAATATTTATTATTTTTAATATATTTATTTAATGTTGAATCTTCAAAAATTTTAGTTTTTAGTCCAACTATAAGTCGAAGTCATATGATTTCCAATGCTCGAATAGCTGATACTTTAGCTAGTGATGGACATAATGTTGTTAGTTGGTTTTGATTTAATTAATTAAATATAATGAACAAACCCCGGTAATTCCCTAAAACACGGTAATTGGAGATGTGAACTTTAATTTAATAAAAAAATGTGTTGGAAATACATTGAAGAACGGTGGAGTTTCTAATTGATGGAGAGTAGATGATTAAGAGGTTTACATAAATTTAGCGGTATCACGACTTTTGCGCCGAGAACATTTGCGCCGCGACTTATGCGCCGCGACTTTTGCGCCGGGCGACTTTTGCGCCGCGACTTTTGCGCCGGGCGACTTATGCGCCGCGACATTTGCGCCCCATTGTTTTAAAAATCCGGATCCGAAAAATGCCGGATATCCGAAATTTTCAGTTCGGATATCGGATCCGGATATCCGAAGATTTCCAACTATCCGACAACCCTACTAAAGTGAGGTCCGGCTGTAGTTATTGATATATTTTTAATGATAGTGGCGGCGCAAAAGTCCCCCGGCGCAAAAGTCGCTCGGCGCATAAGTCGCGGCGCAAAAGTCGCGGCGCAAATGTTCTCGGCGCAAATGTTCTCGGCGCAAAAGTCACGGAACCAATTTAGCTACTTAATAAAATACAGGAATCTGCAAACTGTGAGTTATTACTAGTATTTAAAATTGACTGGGTTAATTGGGTGATGATTTTGCCTTTTCCTCACATAAATATTAAATCAGTACCTAAACGCTTTTTGAGTTAATTAATTAGTTATTTTCTGGCACATATATTTTGATTTTTTAGACACTTTTAGAAGTTGGATTTATTGTACCAGTGGGAGCTTTAAATGCTTCAAAAGTTGCAAATACAATATTAGTGCCGGGTCAATTTATAGATCCAAAGGAATTTGATCCCGCAACATTAGCTGAAATAGCATTTAGGAATGTTGATTTAACTATGAATTTTATAGGTGCTTCAATTTTCCAAACAACTCATAATAATGCCTGTGAAAGTAAGTGAAAGAGGGGGGCAAATCACTGTACAACAGGGGTTGACTTCGCCTATCGCCTTTAATTTCGCTTTTTAAATTTACTGACACATACTTTATTACAATAAATCTATTCCATAAACATTTTTTGTTTGAAAAAAATTAATTGGTATTTTGTAAAGTAATATTTTGTGATTTGTCCCTAACACATGTAAAAATCAAGGAAATTTAACTTCATTTTAAGAATTTTTGCTTGTATCAGAAAAACTTTTTGATAAACTTAGAAATGAAAAATTTGATATAATAATATCTGAACAATTAAATTTTTGTGGAGTTGGTGTTGGCCATCTTTTGGGTATACCTACAAATATATTAGTTTCTAGGTATTTTTTCAGTAAAAAATTATTCTTTAAAACAATCTAGCCTTGCTATAATACCTTAATTAAGGCATGGTTTTTTAATCTGGATGTTGCCTAATTTTAATTTATATTTAGGATAACCTAGGATATGTAAGATTTCTCAAATCCACGGGTATCTAACAGTGCTTTGAAAGTTTTCATTCATTCATCATTCATACACCCCCCCCCCTATTCTTCATAACCCCTATCTTCATACACCACTATTTTTGGCTTCGTACCTCATGTTCATACTTCGTAATATTTATATTTTTGCTCGTATCAGGTAAAGTACGAGTTTTGGTACGAGCTTCAAGGCTGGTCTCTAATAGCGCAGCTTATTTATAATTATGACACTCCTATAAAATATGATGTTTTCGGACCCAAGATTATCTAATAGTAATGTCCGAGTAGCATAATTTAATAAAAGTTTTCCTTAGCTGTCCATTACAAGAACATGTTGCTTCAATATTAGGACTTTCAAATCCGGCAAGTTACATCCCATCATTATATGATTCTAATTTACTTGATAAAATGTCAATTTATCAGAGAACAACAAATTTATTTAGACAATTTGCTGGTTATGTTTATACAATTTATGGAGTAGATCCTTTAACTAAAATATTTAAAAAACATTATGGGGCAACATTTCCTGATTTAAGGACTATTGTTGCAGAAAGTCCTTTTGTTTTTGTTAATGTTGATGAATTGTTGGATTTTCCCCGTCCAATATTTTCGAATATTATTTATATTGGTGGACTTGGAATGGAGGAAGGAAAAAATACTAAAATTAATAAAATTGAGGTTTTTTAATTTAATAAATATTTGGAGTGTATTAGTTTGGCTATTCAACGATTTCCAATTTTTTCAATGTTTCTCCTTTCACTTTTCATATTTGTTTCATTAAACCTATGGGCTCTTATTATACTAAATATTGTTTAAATGACCTTACGATATTCGTAATCGTAAGGTAATCACAGTTTAACAATTACCTCGTAATTACCTAACGTTACTAAATGACCGATCAAATTATTTTCTAATATTGCCATTAAATTTATACCAAAAAATTCTTGCTAATTATCTTCTTATGGCACGGGTCCTGGTAGTAGTATGCTAAAAATTGTTACTGTTATTAAGATCCTTAATAATTAATTTTTTAAAAAGGACCCAATAAATATTGAAATGTCTAAAGGTAAAAAGGGTGTTATATTCTTTTCAATGGGATCAGTAATGAGAACAACAGATATGGATGAAAATTTTAGAAGGAATGTATTATTAACTTTCTCTCAATTGACTGATTATCATTTTATTGTAAAAATTGAGAATGATGACAATGTACATATAAATATTTTTGTTGCAAAGGAGGGCGAAACACTCCTAATAAAAATCTTGTCTAAATAGAAGGTAACGTGACTTTTGCGCCGCCACTATCATTAAAAATATATGAATAACTACAGCCAGACCTCACTATAGTAGGTTTGTCGATAGTTGGAAATCTTCGGATATCCGGCTCCATATCCGAACTGAAAATTTCGGAATCAGGCCTTTTCGGATCCGACAGCCCTACGTTCTTGGGGCTGAAAATCATGCCGGAATAGGCTCAGTCTCGCTAACCATCTAGCTCGGTCTCGCTAACCGAGCTTTTTGAACGTTTTTATTTGGTAGTGTTTCAGCCTAAAAGCTTGAAATAATTTTAAAAAATATTCTTTTAGTTTTCTTCCAACCTCATTTTAAGATTCACTCTTAGGGCTAACAGACTTTACTAGAAACCATCTCCATCATTACGGACATAACTATAAGATACCTTCAATACCACAGATGTCACGGGTAGGGTAAAAGAGAAGTAGAATTCTGGATTAAGTTTTCGAAAATTTCTCGGACGGGTATCGTCTTGGTTTTCGGATAACCCATGAAATCCCTGCTACACTCCTCAATATAAATTTTTTTAATTCAGTTACATGATGTCAACCATCGCTAAAATTTAGGGTTTGACCCCGAACGCTCGGGGACGGGTATGTCGGGTAAATGTCCGGTTGGTGTCCTACATGTCCGCAAAGAGAATGCGCATTTTTCCTTCCTTTTCTTGCATTTTTTCCTGCAAGGAGTGGCGCCCATTCTTCCCTTATGTATGGTATGTATGCCTTTTGGCACGTCTAAGGAAAGAGGAAAAATAATTAAAATTAATGACTAATAGAGTACCTTCTATTTCTGGAATCGGGAAAGGGAATTTCCGACACAAAAAATGTTGGGAATCCCCGATTTTCGGAAATTTTGTCTGCTAGACCCCTGAGCCCGTATCATAAGACGTGTTTGGTTATTTAACTTACCTACACTAAATTTCCCCCCATAAGTTAAAAAGAAGAGGTGCTTGCATCAAAAAAATCAGGTTGTTGCTTATTATTTATATGTAGAGAGCGAGATTTTCAAAAAACCTTGATTTTGGTTGGGTACCTTGACCAGATTCTTGACCTTCTGTCAAGGAAAAATCAAGGATCTGGACTCTGGATCCAGGAAAAATCACGGCCTGGATCTAGCCCCGCTCTCTGTAAATGAGTATAATAAAAATATATTTTACTAATTTTTATTAGTTTTGATATTCGTGCAACAGAAATGATTATCTTCACAAATTGTTTGTTTATCGGGGCATTTGTGACTACAATCCATAAATTCAATATTAATTAATAAATTTAATAAAACAAAGAAAAAAATATTTGTAGCGATTTTGCTGTTCATTTTTAATTAATTTTTTTTCTCTAGTAAAAAAAGTATAAACTTTTTCGGTAATTGAATAAATTAATAAAGGCTTTTAACTTTTAAATTAAAAAAAATATTTTTAATTTACTTTAAAAAACTATTTTAGTGGAGTCTCTATTTCTCAGTTTTTTTCTGAATTTTTCTGAATGTTGAAAAAGTTTGGGAAATTTTGGTGTTATTTTAATAGTTCTTAACTACCGTATTTTCTCGATTAATTCCCCAGGGGAATTAATATTTCGACCCATCCGTGAAATGAGGAATTATTTGAGGGAGGGGAATTATTCGAGTTTTGGCATTTGAACGTGCAGTAGGGTATTTGGGGGTGGGGAATTATTATTTCAACCCATCCCTGGCAGGGGAATTAATCAAGAGGGGGAATTAATTATTCGAGGGGGGGGGGGAATTAATCGAGAAAATACGGTAATTTATATTTGAATTTTGCTTGTGAGAAAACGATAAAAATATTTTCTAGCGTATTTCTATGCTTGAAATAAATTTTAAAAATTTATTTATTGTTGATTAAAACCAGGGCTTCGATTTCTGCGGATTTTTCCTCATTTTGTGGTTTTTTGATAGGGCGATGAGGATTATTTTTAAAAATGCGGATTTGCGGATTTTTGTGGTCTTATGAAGTTTATGAGGATTTTTTTGTATTTTCTTGTAGTTTTTATGATAAAATATCATTTTTTGTCTTCCTGGCCTTCCAAAATCCTCAAAATTTTCGTCTGCGGCGCTGAAAGAAGAAAAAAATTTTAAGTATATTTTTCATGCACTTCTTTGAATTTTGATCAGATGATTAATAGTAATAAAATTTTCCTCAACTCATATCGTGGAGTCAAAAAATATAACACATGAAGTGATTTTAATTCATTTTTTGTTTGTGTTGATGCGCATAGGGTTTTGCGGATTTTTAATATAAAATGCGGATTTAGCTCAGAAATGCGGATTTTTAAAAATTCGAGATCGAAGCCCTGATTAAAACACATAAATTCTTTTAGAAAAATAAAAAAAATTTTTAGCTAGAAATATTTAAATGTAATTTTGTAAGCAATAATGCTTTAATATTTGAGGCTATTTAAATTAAAAAGATTAAAGAGTAAAATACACCCAACTAATGAAAAATATTTTAGCAAAAAATATTTTTAGAATATTATTCAAAGTTTTATCCACTAAAAATATATTTATTCAGATTGTACTTTCCAAATTTGGGAAAAAATTATTGAGAAGAGAATACAAAAAGAGAATTATTCTCATGTCAGAATTATTCTTTTTTTTGTGTTTTTAAATATTTTTCCGTACGTATAGAGGTGATAAAAATGTACTTTATTATTAGAAGAATTTGAATTTCTAAATATTTTAAATTCATTCTTATTGGTTTGTCAACTAGATAGGGCTATTTTTGTCGCGAAAGGCGACAATTAGAATTTAATTTAAGTTTATTTTTTCTAAAACCTATTTTCTTTAAATTCCAATCTTTGTTTTTTTCTAAATCTAAATTATTTTTAACCGCACCTGCTGTCTAGGTAATTCTTTTATGTTCAAGAAATTTGTTCTATTTCTAACTTTTTAAATTAGCTTTCTTTTGTTTCTTTAAGCGCATCTATTTAATTCATTTTTATATGTACCAGCCGCCATTCATTAATTTCTATTTTTTCCCACTTTTGGAACGTTGTTTATCTTAACTTTGTTACCCACCTATTTTTATGGCCTATATAATCTCCCCTCCAAAACCCACATTAGCTTCTACTTAGCTTCATTCTGGTGGGGTTCTATTGTGGCTTGCTTTCTAATCAGCTCTACTCTGTTGGTTCCGAACTCTGGCTTACTCTATTTCTTTGTTGGCGCACTTACTTTATTAATTGTTGGATTTAATTTATGTAATTTGAAAATAAATCTTTTAAATATGTTTGGAATTGGGTTGAACTTATTTTTGAGTTTGAAATTAGTCCCTAGGCATTTACTACAATTTTGGTTATAATTTAATTTATTACTTTCCAATGAGTTATCTTCCTCCCATTTCTGATTCAAAAAATGACACTAATTTGTAAAGGTTTTTCAATAAAATTTTCTTTCGATATAAAATAAGGATTGCTGATCAATCAATTTAGAAATGGAGGTGTGGCAGAAAGATTACAAAATTCTATTGAATTTTTAGATGTAAAGCTTTTAGTAAATTAAAAAATATATTTTTACACCGAGAAAAATATTTATGCTACAATTAGGTAAATATACTACATATGGGTAGGATAAAACAAATAATTTTAGAAGAAAATTAATGTTAACTTTTCCAAATATGCTTACATTTTGGAGGGATTTAAAGAAAATATTTACATAAATTACATAGTACATAAATTTTTGAGTATACATATGTGGTCTTGAAATTAATCGAAAATCTATAATAAAAATATTTGAGTGTTTGAAAAGGGGTTTTTACTGAATTAAAATATGTACATATCTTCACAAAAATTCAAAAGTTTCACTTTCTTCTATCAAAAATAACTCATTGGCCTCCACCTCCTTGACCACTACCTTCACCTACATGATTTACTAGAAGGTCGCTAATCTAAATATTAAAAATATTATTTTTACATGGAACTCGACACCAACACATTTACCAGAAAACCCAGACAGATATAAAACCCAGACATATATATATTATTATGAACAAAGATGAATAGGAACAGCCTGACCGAATGTCGGAAATCAAGAAGTGCCATTTTTAAATCGGAAGAAAAAACGTCGGAAGAATATCATAATCTCGACCAAGCAGAGATCCCTACTCATCAGTAGATTATCGGATAGTTGGAAATCTTCGGATATCCGGATCCGGTATCCGAACCGAAAATTTTCAATATTATTAACCTCGCGTATCTTTGGTTGAATTAACTTTCCATCATAACCTTTCATTTCTGGATTATAAATTATATTTTCTGTAATCATTTTGTTGATTAAATATAGATTTAATGAATACTCAATTTTAAGCATAACCTCGAAAGTACTATTTGAAAACATAAGAGCGAAGAATTTATATAAATTATTTCCGCTTCTTTTTAAAAAGTATTCTATAAGTTTTAATTCGGAAGCTTTGATTGTAGTTTCCGCAGGTTCTAAAAAATTTTAAATAAAAATTAATTATTAAATTGTGATATTGTAGGAGTATTTGTCCCTCTTCTCTTTCTTCAGAAAATCCTTAAAGATTTCCACTTTTAGGGCCCCTATCTTTTCCGGAACATTTCCCACTTATAATTTTATTGCCATACTTTGCATTGTAAAAATAAACCCCAAATAACGTCCAATCGAAGATTGATTCTCAAATTCTATGTTGACTGTGAATCGTACAAAATCATTACTATCCAATAAATTCTGTTCCACAGTTGCCAATGTATATGAATCCCCTAAGAAGTAAGTATAATTAAATATTAAAATAATTTAAACGACTAAACGGGGTCACTTTAGTACGTGGGTCCCGTAGTTAATATACAAATGTTATACCATTCGAAAGAGCTCGTCGAGCTGAGTCGAACGCCACCAGTTTTAGCCCGAGGAAAAATTTTTGGACCGAGATACAGGCGATTGAAAATCGAAAAACCATAGGGGGGGGGGGCAAGCACTTTTTCGGGGTGGAAAATTCGAAAATGCAAATGATA